AATAATGAAATTCACAAAATTCATAGTTTATTTTTCATTCACATTAAAACTGTAAATCTGTAGTAAAAGGAAACATACTGAGCAGCTATGAAACACGGGGTTAAGAGTTTGGACCTGTAATGCCTGGGTCTGAATCTCAGATTCCCACTTACCAGGTGGCAATTTACCACAGGCAAATTCTGTATCTTGTTACTGATTGAGCTTCACTTTCTGTCAAGTGAGAGAAATAAATTGCTCATAGAACTCCTGTGAGAATAGAATATAAAGCTTTTATATGCTCCTGGCATAGAGTAAACACTCAACATGTATAAGCTGTTGTTATTATTCTCAAAAAAAAAAAAAAAGAAAAAAAAATGAAAGAAAAAGAAACCAATCTAACAATGAAATTGCAAAAGATACCAATAAGAAAGAAATAAGGCTGCACAAGGAATTCTTGGGTAAGCGCCTAAGCCCAGAATTATTAAAGGCCACAAAAATTGGAGATTAATTTAATTATACAAATTACATTTGAAATAATGACTGTATCTGTACAGAAAATGTTATAAAGGGCAAAGCTAAGAAGAAAATGAAGATTGCCACACTACTAAAGGTCACAAAAAAAGTGTTCTAAAGCTACACTGACAATAAGCAAAAAACAGACAAAAACAATTACTAATTAGAGAGGGTGGTGTTATTTTAACAGATGACAGACAGAATAAAACTCAGTAACTCCTTTTTTATTTTTTTCCTTCTGTCTTCCACATTAGAGAAAATGATCTTCAAAACTGGACAGGGTTGAACTAGGTAATTGAAAATGAAGTGAATGGACAACAGTTAAGTGTCTGACAAAGCCTTCCAACATACGCTTGTGGAAGAGATGGATAAACTTAGTCTGGAACTTAGCTATATATAGATTCATAACTGGCAGAACAACCATTCCAAGCAGTGCTGGCTAATGAAATAGTATCAACACAGGGGACTAAACAGTTTTAGAAATAAAATAAAACTAAAAGAACAGAGAGTTGTGGTTTCTAGTCTGGGCCTGTGAGGAGCTTATATATCACCACTCCACCCTAACGAGGAAAAAGCTGAACAAACTGAAAAATCAACAACTCTGCTTAGACTCATCAAAGGAGTGAGATCACAGGACACACCACTGGCCCCTAAAATTGGAAAGAATGGCGGATACACAGAATCACAACATACCAGAGCAGAAATCTCTACAGAACTAATGCTGGGGTAGGAAAAACCTTACCTATAATTGAGAAACTTTTGAAGTCTGGACAAGTCTGAGCATCAAAAACTCCAAGGAGACCCAGTCATAGGGAGACCCCATACTTCGTAAGCCTAACTTCCAGGAGCTCTAGCACGTGCTCACGGTGAACAACAGAGAGAATTCTCTCACGCTTCTGGCATGGGGAGGGGAAAAGTAACCATTTTAATACTATAGAGCAATCTGCTCTTAATAAGGCCTGCCCTCAGAACAAACTATTTTACCAGAGCCTAAACTTCTGGGGTTTTACCAGAGCCTAACCTATCTGGGGATAGGGAAATACACAACTCCACCTCCTCTACACATCCTGTCCCACATAAGGGAGAAACACTGAGTCACTGTTGAAGTTCATAGCCCAGGGCCACAGGCTCACTAAAAGACTAAGTAGAGGACTATAGAACACCATCCTCTCCATCTGCCTGCTTACTTAAAGGTCTACTTATTGGAATTCTTTTTACCCAATATGTCATGTCTACTTTTAACAAAAAAATACAAGGCTTATCAAAAGGCAAAAAATACAGCTTTGAAGAGACTGAATAAACATCAGAACTAGAGTCAGATATGGCAGGGATAGTGGAATTAACAGATCAAGAATTTAAAATAACTATGATTAATGCTAAGGGCACTAACAGAAAACATAAGACAATGTGCAAAAACAGATAACGTAGGCAGAGAGATGGAAATCTTAAGAAAGAATCAAAAAGAAATGCTAGCACTCTACACACTCTAATGGAAATGAACAATGTCTTTTATGGAATTACAGACATGGCTGAAGGAGGAATCTCGAAGTCAACAAAACTTCCAAAACTGAAAAACAAAGAGAAAATGACTAAAGAAAGAAAATAAGAACAGGAGATATAACAACTGTGGGGAATGATGAAGGGTAGTAATGAGAATACCAGAAGAGAGAAAGGGAGCAATTGAAGCAATATTTGAGGCAACAGAGCATATTCCCCAAATAAATGTCAGACACCAAACTACAGATCTAAGAAGTCCAAAGAACACCAATCAGTATTAATGCTCCCCAAAATATAACCTAGGTATATCACATTCATACTTGAGAAAATAAAAAATGAAGAAAAAATTGTGAAAGAAGCCAGAGGGGGGAAAACCTTACCTAGAGAGAAGCAAAGATAAAAATCATATCTAACTTATCTTCAGAAACCATGCAAGCAAGAGAGTGAAGAGAAATATTTATTTATTTACTTACTTATTTATTTTTGGAGTAAAACATGTAAAGTGTTTAGAGGGGGAAAACCCTCCACAAACCTAGAATTCTGTGAAATTATCCTTCAAAAGACAAGAAGAGATAAAGCCTTTCTCAGACAAAAACTGACATTATTTGTTGCCAATAGACCAGCAAGGCAAGAAATGTTAAAACAAGAAAAAAAAAGCTCTTCAAAGAGAAGAAAAATGATAAAGGCCAGAAACTTAGGTCTACCTAAAGAAAAACACATCAGAGAATAAGTAAAGGTAATATAAAAACTTGAGAGCGAGGAAATTTATCGAGAACATTACATAATGATAAAGCGGTGCATACTCCAGGAAGAAATAACAATCCTTAATGTGTTATTTCTACCTAACAAAAGGGCATCAAAATAAAAGAGGCAAAAACTGGTAGAACTGCAAGGAGAAACTGATGTATCCACTATTACGGACTCCAACACCTCTCCATCAGAAAGGGACAGATCTTTGGGCACCTGAGTGGCTCAATCGGTTTAGAGTCCAACTTCAGCTCAGGTCATGATCTTGTGGTTCGTGAGTTTGAGCCCTGAGTTGGGCTCTGTGTTGACAGCTCAGAATTTGGAGCCTGCTTCAGATTCTGTGTCTGCCCTTCTCCTGCTCATTCATGCTCTCTCTCTCAAAAATAAATAAACATTGGGGGAAAAAAAAAAAAAAGGAAATGGACAGATCAAGTAGGCAGTAAATCATCAGCAATGATCATAGAATTCAAAAGCACCATCAATTAATATAATTGATATCTATAAAATGGCTATATCCAATAACAGCAGATTACACATTCTCCTCAATTCACAAGTTTAACAAACCACTCTGGTGAAGGATGCTGTTGATAGTGGGGCAGATTGTGCAAGTGTGGGGCAGAGAGTATGTGAGACCTCTCTATATTTTCTGCTCAATTTTGCTGTGAACTTAAGTCCTCTAAAAAAATTAAGTTTATTCACTAAAACAAGGATAGATCAATGTTTCTAATAAATAATACAAACTTATTCAGTATCTGCTAAGTATATTATTTTTTAGCTGACAAAGAGTTTAAATTAAAAATAAAACAAACAGAATGGACTGGAATAAATAAGATTCAGTTTAACTGGAATAAGCAATAAAAAATCCTGCATTTGAGCTCATAAAAATCAACTACATAAGTGGGAGTTCTAGGATCTAGTAAGTGATAAAAGAATCCCTGGGAGTTTTACTAGGCCAAACTAAATGGCCTAAGAAAAGTAATAGATTTTCTCAATAGAAGTATCTGGTCAACTGAAATTTAGAAGACATAAAAATTATGCAGGGCACGTGCAAATAAATCTAATTTCATAAGTCTGAGGGTGGAGTCTGATAATCTGCATTTCTACAAGGCACCTTAAGTAATTGACACAACTGATGAGAACCACTCACTTGTGGCCAGCTTTCGTCTATTAAATATGAAAGTAAAGGCATTTTTTTTAGTGCTCTGGACATGTGAAACATCCTCCTTAAAATTCTGTTTGTGATTATTTGATCTTGATCCATAACAGCCTATAAATGTATAATCTTTTAAAAAAGAATTACATTCAAGATGCTGAAACAATAATTAACAAACATTCTTCTACACATTAAAAAAAAAAATGCCAAGGAGTGCATGGGTGACTCAGCTTGTTGAGCATCTTACTCTTGATTTCAGCTCAGGTCATGATTTCACAATTCATGGGACCAAGGGCGCAGCTGGCTCTGCGCTGACAGCGTGGATCTTGCTTAGGATTCTGTTTCTCCCTCTCTCTCTGCCCCTCCCCTGCTCATGTACATGCTCTGTCTCTCAAAATAAGTAAGTAAACATTTTTTAAAAAGTGCCAAAACAAGAAAAAATTCTGATACATACTGCAGGAAGCTAAAATTTTTACTAATAATTAGTAAAATTATCTAAAATTTTTACTAATAATTAGGACTATTAAAGTCATTCTCTGACATACCAAATGAGGAACTTTTCAAGGTATACTCAGAATTATTTTAGAAAAAAGTTGTTGAACTCAGAAATCTCTGAAAATAGCCTTTTTAAAAAACCTGCAGTAACTCAGGTGAATTGATAGATGTTTGATATCACGACCTGCTAAATTCTTCACTCAATCTTCATTAATCAGATTATAGTAATGAGACTAAAATATAGCTTTCCTCAGTAGTCTTCTGAAAATTAATGGATCAACTATTCTATAATTCAAGGTACTCAATTTCAAAACCCTTGAAGAACCTGTATTAATCTCCTAATCAAGAGAAATGGAAATAGAAGGTGAAGGGGGAAACTGCAAACTAAAGAACCTGGTCCAGCACAATCTTTAGCAGAGATGAATAAAGTCTCTTGCCGACCCAGTTCAGTAATAAGACAGATCTCTAGAAGAGTGCAGGAGCGCAGTGGTGACTGACACAAGCTACAGGGGATACAGTGATGCAAAAAGCCATCAATCACACTGTTTCACTGTTTCCTACAGGGCTGGTGGGGTTTTCTACACTTCACAGACATACATCCAGTGGAAGCACTTACCATGATAATCCCCTTGGCCTGGTGGATTGGTTAGAATAATCTTCATGCAACTAAAAGGCGTATAGTCAGTTCTCTTGCCTTCCTTTCCGAAGCTATGACGGATATTGTAAGAGTAGCCTTTATCGAACTGATTGGAGGAAAGAGAAGAGACAAAGTAAGCCAATATCATCTAGTGGTATGGACAGTGATGACAGCTACAATCAGAGTACAAAATGGTATTTTCTAAAAGAAACTCAGCATTCATAGGGAGATGTACATACCATATACATCATTTGAGTCCTTCATGTACAAATACATTTTTTAAAAAGTGCAAGATTTACAGGAAACAAATTCCTCAGGTAGAGACAGCAAATGTTTACATTTATATGTTTAACAGTGAAGATAATTCTTTCCTGAGAGTAATCAATTCACCCATTTCTTGGTTTGATACCAGAGCTTATACTGAATGTAAATCAGTTTAGTCTGAACTCTGTTACTTTAGTAGTCCCTGAATTCCTATATCCTACTTATTCTACTTCTGAAATGCCTAATACAATTAATCCCTTCTTCTGTATTCTCACTACAGGAGAGAAGCAATGTGTAAAAGGGAAGCAAAGCAAGAAGAAAGCAAATGCTTGATTAATGAACTGCTGCAACTGCCTCCCACCCGGAATTCCTGACTCCATGTTTACAAAGCAAGCCAAGAGTATAAAAAGGAGTTTGAATGGGTGGGAGAGAAAGAAAACAGAAACTAACATTGATTGAAAAGCTCAGAACAGTAGGATTTCGATAATACTTCAATGAAAGTAAGAAAGAACTAGATTAAGAGAGGAATATGCTGTATTATTTTGGGAGGTGAGATTTTTAAATTTCAAGTTACAACCTGAAATGCACAGACCTCAAGTCTACATACAGTTTTATTGGTTTTGACAAATCACTGTACGTATGTAATCCATACTCCTAGTAAGAGACAGAATGTTCCTGTCACCCAGAGTTCTCTGGTGCCCCTTCCCAGTCAACATTCTTCCCTTCTCTCCATACAATGATGTGATTTTCATCACCATAGTTTTAACTATTCTACAACTTTATATAAATGGAATCACACACTATAAAGTGTTTGATATCTCACTTCTTGCATGACTTTTTGTGTTTTTGAGATTTATGCCATCCATTACACATCCTGTCAACAAGCCCTTTTGCTAAACTATAGACCCCAACAGTTAAAACCAGAAAAAGACAAGAATGCTAATTCATGCTCTAACTAAAATCTGCTGTACTTATTTCTTATCATGCTTCTTGAAGCATTGACAAAGATGCTTTGGCAATGACTGGAATGTTCCAACCACCCAGAGAGAAAAGCCTTGGTAACAAAAGAATGCCTAGAAGACCATACCCTACCTGATCCCCTCCCTGCCCATGATCCTGTGCTCAACACACTGCAATGCCCAACCACAATCACATGCTCTCTGCCTGCTTTCTTGCCCATACCTCCCTGAACCTCGGTGAAACTCTAGGCATCCATCTTGCCAGGAAAGAGGTCGGATATGAAGACTTGAGCCTGCCACCACCGAGGCTGCTGGCACCCAAAATAAATATCTCCCTTTTCTCCAAACCTTCGTCTCTTGAGTTATTAGCTTCTCTCACAATGAGTTTATACAAGTTTGTTCAGCAACAGTGTTGGTAAACCCGGCTAGGAACTATGCTTTCGATTTGTCCACCCCTCTCAGTACCCTAGAATGGGATAGTTGGCGTTCACTTCCTGAGTTAGCAACTGTGATAGACTGGTAACACTATCAGCAGTTTGTTCCTTTTACTGTTAAGTAGTGTTTTACTGTCTGAATATGCCAGATGGCTTATCTAGTCCTCAGTTGACAGACATCTGGGCCATTTTTCCAGTTTTGGGTATTACCAATAAAGCTGCCATGAGCATTCTTGTAGATGACTTTTGTGGGCCTATGTTTTCATTTCTCTCAAATGCTGCCAGAATTGCTGCCAAGTTTTCCAGGGTGACCATGCTATTTTATAGCCGACCAGCAATGCATGAGAGTTTCACACTGTCCCCAAAGTTTGGTGCTGTCTCAATTTTGTTCATTTTAGCCAGTCTAATGGGTAGGTAGTGATACCTCACTTTCCATTTCCCTGATGACTAATTCTCATGAGCACTTTTTCATATTCTTTCTTGGCTTACTTTGGGTTTGTTTGTTTCTCTGAATCTTTACCTTTATTCAAACATGTTCTTGTTTCCAATACTGACTTCCTGCCTCACTGGCCGTATATGTATATGTGCATATGCATATATATTTCCCCCAAGATTTTATTTTTTTGTTTTGTTTTTTATTTAATTTTGAGACAGAGAGAAACAGAGCACGAGTGGGTAAGGGGCAGAAAGAGAGGGAGACACAGAATCTGAAACAGGCTCCAGGCTCTGAACTGCCAGCACAGAGCTCGACACAGGGCTCGAACCCATGAACCATGAGATCGTGACCTGAGCCGAAGTCGGACGCTTAACAGACTGAGCCACCCAGGCAACCCCCGCCCCCCAGATTTTATTTAAATTCAAGTTACTTAACATATAGCGTAGTACAGGTTTCTTGAGAATTTAGTAATTCATCACTTAACAAAAAACACCCAGTGCTCATCCCAACAAGTGCTGTCCTTAATATCCATCCCATTTAGCCCATCCCCCTGCCTACCTCCTCATCTACCCTCAATTTTTTCTCTATAGTTAAGAGTCTCTTATGGTTAGGCTCCTTCTTTTTCTCCTTCCCCTATGTTCACCTGTTTTGTTTCTTAAATTCCACATGAGTGAAATCATATAGTATTTGTCTTTCTCTGACTGATTAAATTTGCTTATCATAATACATTTTAGCTCCATCCACATTACCACAAATGGCAAGATTTCATTCTGTGTGTTTTGTTTTGTTTTGTTTTTTGTTTTTTTGATACTTATTTTTGAAAGAGAGAGAGAACAACAGAAAGAAAGAGACAAGATCTAAAGCAGGCTCTGCATTGTCAGCGCAGAGTTTGTTTAAGGGCTCAAACTCATGAACTGCAGGATCATGACCTGAGCCCAAGTGAGAAACTTAACCAACTAAGCCACCCAGGTGCCCCTGATGGCTGAGTGTATGTATACGTGTGTGTGTGTGTGTGTGTGTGTATCTATCTAAAATCTATATATCTCTATATAAACTTCTTTATCCATTCATCATGCCTTATTTTGTGAAGTGTCTGTTCAAATCTTTCTCCCATTTAAAAAACCAGATTGCCTTCTTGTAGGAATTCTTGATATGCTCTGGATCTAGCCCTGTTATCAGATACAGGTGTTACAAATATTTTCTTAAAATCTGTGGCTTGTCTACATATATTTTCTTAATGTTGTCTTCTGATAAGATATGTAAACGTGTTTATTTCTCATGAACCCTAACTTATCTTTTTTTTTTTTTTTTTTTTAATGGTAATGCTCTCTATGTCCTAAATTAGCTTGCAAAGATATTCTCCCATGCTGTCCTTTAGAAGCCGTGATGTTTAAGCTCTAAAGTCAGGTCCTTTTCATCTCAATTTTTGTGTGTAGGGTAAAGTAGGACTCCAGGTTGTATTTTACCCCTGTAGAGGAGGAAGGATCTTCCTCCCCGATCTTCCTAGGTTCGTGGCTGGGGCTCATGAATCAAACTGATAAATGACATCCACAAGGAAACAAACTACTTAATTACATATATATATAAAGTACACTGATGGCAGTCTTACAAAGAAACAGGACTTAAGGAGTAGCCAGATGACTGAGGCTTGTATACCATTTTAGGCTAAACAAAGGAAAATGGATTCTTTGTGGGAGAGAGAGGCAAGTTATGAGAAGGTGAAGAGGAGATGTATGACAAATAAAGGTTGTACTTTTCTGCAGAGGAGTCTCCTGGGTGATAAGAGCTGTCTAGAGTAGTTTACAGATGTGAATATCCTTTAAAAGGGGAAATTTATACTTTATTTTCAGACAGGAGAAGGTAGAGTTCTTCTGGCATCTGCTGGTTCTCAGTTGCCTTTAGCTCAAAATAATCCTTATGCTAAAGTGACATATTTTGGGGTGGCATATTCTGGTACCCTTTCAACACTATTTGCTGAAAATATTTTCCTTTCCTTACTACATTGCTTTGAACAGAAACAGACTCATAAATACATAGAAAAAACTAGTGGATGCCAGAGGGTAGGGAGGTGATGGCATAGGTGAAATAAATGAAGGAGATTAAGAGGTACAAACTTCCACTTATAAAATAAATAAATCATGGGCGGGGGGGGGGGGGGAGTGGCACTTGACTGGCTCAGTCAGTTAAGTGTCCAGCTTTTAATTTAGGGTCAGGTCATGGAACCACAGTTATGGGATGGAGCCCCATGTCGGGCTCTGTGTTGCCTGCTTAGGATTCTCTCTCTCTCTCTCTCTCTCTCCATCCCCATAAAAACGTTAAAAATATAAATAAATGAGTAAGTCATGGTGATAAAAAGTACAGCATAAGGAATATAGTCAATAACACTGTAATAACATTGTAGGGTTACAGACTACATTTATTATGGTATTTTGTAATGTATAGAATTGTTGAATAACTATGTTGTATACTTGAATCTAATATAATATTGATGTCACCTATACTTCAATTAAAAATAAAAATAAGCTGCTCTGGTACTCTGGTCAAATTTGACCATAAATGTGTGCATCTAGGGGCGCCTGGGTGGTTCAGTTGGTTGGGCCTCTGACTTCGGCTCAAGTCATGATCTTACAGCTTGTGGGTTTGAGCCCTGCATCGGGCTCTGTGCCAACAGCTCAGAGCCTGGAGTCTGCTTCTGATACTGTGTCTCCCTCTTTCTCTGACCCTCCCCTGCTCGTGCTACCTCTCTCTCTCTCTCTCAGAAATAAATAAAACATTAAAAATTTTTTTTTTCAAATGTGCGCGTCTATTATTCCACTGATCTGTATGTTTATCCTTTTGTCAACGTCACATTAATTATGGGGTCTTTAGAGTAAGGCTCAAATTCAGGTAATTTAGGTCCTGCTGCTGTGTTCTTTTTCAATATTATCTTGGCTATTCTATGTCCTTGAGTTTCCATATAAATTTTAGAATCAGCCTATCAATTTTTATTTTATAAAAATCCCTGCTGGAGTTTTCA